ATAAAACCATGTAACCCTGAGTATATGCCTAAGGGAGTTGAAAATGAACTTAGATACTGGTACATCAATGTTCTCGGAAACATTATTCACAATAACTAAAAGTTGGAAACAACCTAAGTGGCCATCAGCAGATGGATAAGCAAAATGGCTAAACAGTGTATAACCAAAATGTGGAATATGATTGAGGCTTGAAGTTCTTTTTTTTTTTTTTTTTTTTTAGGTACCAGGGCTTGAACTCAGGACCTTGCGCTTGCAAGGCAGGCATGGTGCCACACAGCTAAATTCCTGGCCCAAAGCTTGAAGTTCTAATGCACACCACAACATGGATGAACCTTAGATGACTCATGTTAGGTGAACTAAACCCAGACAAAAGGAATGTGTAGAAGGGCAAATTCCTAACGATGGAAAGGACATGAAAGGTTACCAGGCTAGGAGAGGGTGAGGATTTTTTTTGCGGGGGGGTACCTGGGGTCAAACTCAAGACCTTGTGCTTGTGAGGCAGGCAGCACCGCTGAGCTAATTCCCTGGCCCAGGGTGAGGAATTTTTGCCTAATGGTTACAGAGTTTCTGTTTATAATGATGAAAAAAGATTTGAAATTAATGCTGATAGTTATACAACATTGTGGATAAAATGCCACTGAAATATTTGTTTAACAGTGGTTAAAATGGCACATTGTATATTATTTATATTTTACCAAGGTTTAAAAATTCTGTAATATACCAAAACTATTAAGTTACAAACTTTATTTTTATTTTTAAATTTTTTTTGGTACCGGGGATCGAACTCGGGCCCTCACACTTTCAAGGTAGGCGGCGGATCCACTGAGCTAAATCCCTGGCCCAAGTTGCAAACTTTAAAGGGCAAATTATAATATGAATTGTATCTCAATAAAGCTATTTTTTTCCAATAAGTCTATTGGTACATTCTAGGTCTAAAATACAGTTACATTCATCATTGGGATCTTGTACCTTTACATGAGTATCTTGGTTCTTATTTTTTTTCCCCTTCCCCTGCCCTCCCTTCACCCCCTCCACCCT